TGCAGTTTGACAGATGGCCTTGGTCTCTGTGAATACAAGGAGCAGCTTCAGCATTCATCCAGCAGCATGTTTTCCACCTCCTCATMATCCTATTTTCTATCTTCGCTCTTCCCCTTTGTGCTTCTCCCCCCAAAGACACCCTAAAAGCACTGCTCTCTTAATTAAATGTCAGCCTCAGACCAACAGCTAATTGAAAGATCTGAAATATTTGTTCAACATACTTGAGATTCAATTAAAACCTGTTCTCCCTTCTCTGCTTTTAGCTGCCAAGTACTGCATGACCCTTTGCTATTTTTTGAGAAGTAATTGGCAGATAAATTCTCCTGGAACCACGAGATCTCCAACAAATGCACCAGAGCGTTAAACTCTGTAGATGAGGAATGAGTTCCTGCTCCTTCCCCCTGCATGTATTTTGACAGTTTAGGAGGAGCTGAGAGATTTCACGTGGAAGTGGAGGCAGAAGGTCAGCACTCAGCTTGCTAAGGAGATGCTGGTTGAGAGGACAGCTGCATGCTGCTGGGAAATAAATCACTGCCAGAAAGGAATTAAAAGAAATAACTCATCACTGTAACTTCCTTTGGATATTTGTGGTCTGAATAGAAACCTGAATTCCTTATAAAAAATCAGAGAGGTCCCTTGAAGCTTCAGCCTTGCAATACCTTGTGCCTTGCAACATCCCATCCGCTCATAAAATCTCAAGCTGTATTTTACCCTCAGCATTTATTTGTCTCAACAGCATGAGTGTGGGCTGTGAGTTTACAAACATGCCTGCAAATAAAGCATCTATCGCTCCTAAGAAATGTACTGCATTGAAGTGCTCCTCAATATGATCTAACCTGTTAACTCTCCTAATTAAAGCTCATTATTTCTAACCCYTGCCCTTTCGGTGGTTGCTAACCTGGTAAAACACCATCTGGTTTCTTCAATTACAAAGCAGTAAGTCCCCTGGCAGGAGAGGAGGGATCTGGCAATCCTGGAGAGCCCTGGGGCAGGGGGAAGAATTTGTGAGTAGTGCASAGAGGGGGATGGAGAAGGCAGAGGATTGGGGAAGAGCTGTTGGGAGAGTGGTGAGTGAGGTTTCTGGGCCTGAAGAACCAAAGGGTGGCTGAAGCTCCCAGCATTCATCAGGGAGTTCCAG